GAGCGCAGGTACCTGCAACAGGCTCAGCTCCCGAGCTGTGCCGCACCCGTGTTGGGGAATCTCGGTGCAGCCGCGCATTCGCCGCTTCTTGTACCAGCAGCCGTAGCGACTGCTTCCAGGGTCAGATACTGGAGCGCACGTGCACAGGGGTTGGCACTCGCCTGACACAAGGTACCGCTCCAAGCGCTGACATGAAGAAAACGCTAAACCGCGTTTTTCTGCTTCTACAGATTTTTCATCTGTTAGTACTTCCACAGAAGTAGTACTGGAGGCCAGAGTTTTCTCCTTTAACATAAGCACTTCAGCCACCCACCACTATTGGTCCTTTGCTGGTCGGCATCATCTCCCTCACGTACCCCAGTCTAGGGACAGTTAGGCAGAGATGTTACTTTTTCTGCATTAATACCGGCTTCTTGTGTTTGTTTCAGGTTCTTTTTGATGTATCTCATCAACAAGGATGAAACTGAGCATACTGGCCAGGTGAGTAGAAAGTTCTTAAGGTTATCTTTCAAGATTTTTATCTATACCAGCCTTGTAGCTGTGTACCACCAGGTGGAACTGAAGGACCACCAGGGAGGGGAGATGATGCCGCCCTCGGAAAGTGGTCTGCAACTAAAAGGAAGGGGTAAAAAAGAGGGTGGGGGTGGGCTGCAGCAGGGTGCTCTTCTACCCAGCACTGAACTGTTGTCAGAGGTCAGTTACTGGTAATGTTACCATCATCTTATCTGTGAAATGAAACCTTGACATGTACCAGTCGCTTTAGCTTATTCCCAAAAGATTAAGCTATTGTATTTATAATCTAAATCCATATATCCCTATATATAGATAGGTATATGGATATTTGTATGTTTAGTGTTATTAGGCCCTAAATATAAATAAGTAATAAATAGGATTTAATTATATTTTATCTCAAATAAGAAGCTGTTAATGCACACACTACAAAAAGTACCTTTTCCAAGCAAACTAAGCCACATTTTATATAGAGAGAGATTATGAACAGGTTTGCTTTGGTATAACTAGACTGATTAATTTACAGTTTTTCTAACAAGGCTTAAAATTCAGTAATACTGAATCAATAAAAGTACAGAACAAGACTTACAAACCTTCTTGAGCTGCGATCTTTGAGTTTCAAGGTCTTCATGGTTTACTCCATGGTAATAGTCACAGCTCCTCGTTATTGGTAACAGTCTATCTAGAACACAAACTGCAGGCACTCCATTAAAATAAACACTCTTTATTTGTTTTCAGGAGTCATTTGTGTGGAAAATGTACCAAGAAAGATGTTGGGACTTTTTCCCAGCAGGGGACTGCTTCCGGAAACAATACGAGGATCAACTTGGCTAGCATCGGAAAAGGAACTATTTATTCATGAACTCTTCAGATCCACTACACAAAAACCCCTTTTCTTTTAACGGTGTAATTTCAAGGCTTATATTTGCTTTAAAGGTCTTTAAACTTCAAGACATGTAAAATTTGACTCTATTTCATAGGCTTTTTGTACCTACCACAAATTAAACCAGTCTTTTGTTGGAACTTAATTAGAAAAAAGAAAACTATGCCAGATTTAACTCCAGCCTTCCACTTCAAACACTGTCTGAAATTCTAGCAGCTTCTAACCACATCACTAACCTGGCGTTTGGCAGTACAGCTGAAAGGGCTAAAAGGTGTCTTAATTGCACATGTGCCATTCAATAACTTGAACATCAGAGGCCATGCCTCAGAAGAAATACTTCTAACTGCTGCCTGGTTTCCCCCCTCCCAGTATTTGCTAGTGAATGTATTAAGATACAGCTTGAAAAGCTTTAAGCAGTTAAAAAGAAAACATTTTCAAACACTTCGTCAACCTTGAAACATTAAGTGCCTTAAAACCTCTGTAGACATAGCTATGCAAACTTTTTATTTATGTTTGTGTTCTAGATTAATAGATCCATTAACTGTATTGCTTTTCTGTCTTTCTGTATGAAATTGCACTTGAAGTTTGTTTCTATTCGCCCTTCAATAACAGCTTATTAGATGCTGCTGTTAAAAGACATACACTATCAAAATTAATACAATTTAAATCTTAGGCCAAAACAAAACGATGTTCTATGGTCACCTGCAAGTAGACGCTGTTAGGATTATGCATTTTTTTCTTCTAATAAAAAGTGCCCACTGCAATAAAGTATTATAAACAAAATATTACCTTTGCTGTCTTCTTTCTCACTTTTATACAATAGGGAGATGTGGGATGAGGATGATGGCTAAAAACACATATTCATTGCTCATTCATAGCTTTATTTTAAGGAGTACATAGAGCAAAGTACAAGCTGAAGTAATGGTTCTCGTAGTTTGCTGTAGCAAAAAGAAACCAAACCCTAATTTCATCAAAAATTTTAAACCTCTCTAACAATATTAGTCTTAAGCCAATTTTCGATCACATCTAAATGCATTTTGGTTGCACAAAATTTTAGTTGCCAGCAAAGAAAACTGGGCATTTGGCACACCGAACAAAGTGAAAGATGCCACTTTCTGCTTAGAGTTGGCTGTATTCTGTTATTCACCTAAGAAAATTTGAGCTTCAGGATATCATGCTGTCCAGCCAGTCTTCAAGCTCTTCTTCAGTAACATTTTTAGATGTACTTTGCTGTTGGTGTGATGCTGTATTCTTCTCTTCAGGCATATCTTGTTTTAAAGAGTCTAGAAAAGTGAAAAGAACAGACTTGAAACAATTCATACCAGGGCTTTTTCTCAGATCCTGTTATTTTTTAAGACAGCAAGAAAATCATATGCAAAAAATGAGAGATACTAGAAAGTCTTTTATAGCATTGTGGACGGGGGAGGAGGATTCACAAACCATCAAAACTAACAAACAGTAGTAAAACTTCTAGGAATGCAAATAAAAGGAAAGGTTTGACAATTTTTCTGAAATTTAAATGGTTTTGGACATGTTTATATTTTATGTATTTATATCCGAATTTTCATATTTCACATTTATATTAATATATATATACAAACTTAATTTTGTAAAATCAATGCTAGTCAGGTTTGAAAATAGCATTTTTCACAAGCCATCAGAAGCAGTTATCAATTCTTCTTTGTACTATTCGCACAGTGAAGTAAGGGCTGATAATGTTACTTAAAAAAATTATTTTTATCTTCCTCTCACTAAAATTTTCTAGCAGTATATTATTTTTTTATGTACAATTTTGCTGAATCATAAGACAAATGCTGTTCTGCAGAATAATTTAATGCTTAAAATAAACTAAAAAATGTGGAAAGGTTAGTTCAGTGGGGAGTTAAAATTGAAAAAGATCGAGTGGGCCAGAACAGCCCCAGGTAAACAAAACGCAACAGGACAGAGCTGATGACAGCAGCACTGTTGACTGGCTAATCAAGAGTTCAAAACCATCACGAGAACAGAGAG